ATTTATTTATTACCTTGTTTTGCAATTCGCTACGCGTCGCAGCGCCTACCGGACTCGGACTCGACTGCCTCGGTTCCGGGCAGGGGCGGGTACGGGAGGGGCCCGGCCTGTCGAGCGACCAGGTAGCGCCGGACGGCGGACTCGCAGGCCACGAAGCCGGAGAGGAAGCGTTGGCAAGTGGCCTGCGTCGAGTGCGAGGCGTCTGCGGGTTCGGGCAGAATGGAAGGAGCAAGAAGATGAGTCGGCCTTTAGGCCAGTCGTCACGGCGTCGTCAAGGTCTGTGAAAGCGAGCGCGTACAGCCACCGACGTCGGTCGGACGTCGACGACGAAACACCGTCAGAGCTGGAGTTCATTCTTGCGTCGACTGCCAGTTCGCCGTCCGGCGCTACCTGCTCGCCCGACAGGCCGGGCCCGAGAACGGACGCGACACAGGCCGACATGCATCGGGCTCGGTTGGGGCACACACAGACACACGTGCTTCCTTTCAGCGTCGGCAGAGTAACGCGCTGGCGAGCCGCTGAGCTGGCGACAAACGAGGCGACCGAGGATATGAAGACCAAGATGGTGTGGCCTTTTTCTTTGGTCGCAGTCTCCTTTTGTTGTTTTAACAAGTTGTTTCACCTTGTTTTCCCAACTTGCTCACAACTCGCTAGGAAGACTGACAGCAACGCACCTCGTCCTGAGTCCATTCTATGCATCATCATTTGCAAAGTAGGACCGTCGATGTGGTACATTCTCAGACGTTTCGCCGGCATCTTCAGTCACTTTCGCCATTCGTAGCACCACACGACAACTCGTCAAAGAGACAAGTGAAGCTCATCCTTTGACCAAACGTGTGCTAAACAGTTGTGCACATTTCCCATATCGTTCTTTCATGCCTTCTCTGACACAATTTGTACTGTGCTTATCTTTAATGTAGTTTGGTGTGCTCCTTCGAGCGGCATTCATGAAAACCCTTCACACTCCGCACTTTCGTTATCACCTTTTTGATGGGAATGTTGACCAAAGTCTGTCATATTGTTACGTAGTCCTTCCCTGTGTCCTATCAAAGTCTCCGTCTTGCCCCGTGGAATACGTTTGCTATCTCTCTGGTACATGTATTTCACTTGACACCTGCCCCCCTCCATCTGTGCTATTCGAGGCGTAATTCGTCCATCCCTTGCACATAGGCGATTAATTAGAGGCTAAAGCCTCAGAGTAAGTGTCATGGTCATGCCTTTGCTACATGGATCACATCTCCTGTAAAAACCTACTGTCAGCCAACTAGCCTTGTCTAACCTCTCTCTATTCCAATCTTTTCCTTACGATGGAAGGTGGCTAAACTAGCTTGTACAAACATAAGCTACGTTTGCAGAAGCAAATACATTGCCGCTTTTCCTGCACTAGATTTTACTTTGTCATCTTAACTATCCATCATGTGGTCCGGAAATAAACCTTCTATCCGAGCATATATTTAATTGTGGATTTTAATTAAACTGAGAAAATCTATGCTATTTATCTATACGGTGTTTCTTCTATCTAAGATTTATCAACTTTGACTTGCTTTGCATTGGAATGATAGTAATTCTGCCCAAGACAAACTGAACTGGATGTTTGAATTTTGCGTTAAATTCTCCTATTTTATGCATGTCAAGAAAAGTAATCAAACTGGAGTTGTGTAAATTAGGGGGCAACTTTTTCATCTATATACACATAGGTTCACAGTTCGAGTCCAACTGGGTCGAAAATGTAGTTTATTCTGTGTGAGAAATGTCATTCGAGTGACCTTCGTATTCATGAACAATAGCCTTAGTGACCACTATTTGTGCCTGTTCCGAGAAGAAATATTTTCCTCTATGAGCGAATGAAGCTTGGAAATTTCATGAGTCTTGTTTTAAATAATATTCTTGTCTAGACTTCGGAGGGATTTCGACTCACTCATCATTCACTATTCATGTACAAAGGTTCGTTCAATTCATGCTCAGCTGACTATGAGGTTGAATAGGGCACATTTGCATTTGCCTGAGAAATAAATCTAAACGTGGATGATTTAGTAAAATAAAAAGTTTTCAATAAATAATTGCTTTATTTAAGGTGGGTCTTGCCTCATTTACCTAAACATAATATCTAACCAACCTGAAGTAACGGTGCCTTCACTTAGACATAAGATATTCTCTCTGTATCTTGTATCTGCTTGCCGACACTTTATGTGAGGTTTGAAATATTAGCCTGCAAAAGTGGTAAATCGGAATTTTGTGAGGGTGTCCATATTATCGTGAGAGATCAGTCAAATGATTGCTTGAAGGGTAAATAAAAAATGGCAAAATCAGCTTAGCTTAGACTGCCAAAGTTGCACATGCTGGGGAATCCAAGTTACTTTCTGCTTTCTCTTAAACAAGAGTATGGCTTGTTGGTTAGCTGGGCATAAACTCCTCCGTCAAAAGCAATAGCGTTGCATAGAGACTGACTGGTCAGCCGATATTCACTGGAAGATGAACTGCCTACACGATATGCGGACGAGCGACCGGAATAGGTGAAGCATTATGACAAATGCCGGCTTTCTTACAAAAATATTATTCCGATATTAACCATTAGACA